TTGCCATTTAATTGATTTATTAATCCACAAGGTTTAGTAAGAACGCTGCCTCTCCTGGTTTAATAGTACTGACTTTACTATTTGTTCAGTAGAATAACCAAACTGATGCATTGGGTACCATTACATGATGATTTCTGATATTGTGGTTGCAACACAATGTGTATTTCTCAGTGTTTTACTAAGCTTCCCATTGCTTCCTAACATGGGACTCTTTATGTTGCGTATGTTCTAGTCCCTTTTGAGTGCTTGCAATGTTGTGTTTTTGTGGCATTTGTGATGTATTGTGCATGTGCCACTTTCCGTCAGGTCAATGTTTAAAACATAAAATCCATAGTTTACTTAAAGAGACACTCTAAGCACCAAAACCTCTTTACCATAATGGCAAACAGCACAGCAGAGTGACACAAACTCTCCTAGTGAAGCATGGGATTTACTGCCTATCTCAAGAAAATATAGAGACATTTCTGTTTATTACTTGCAATGCGCAGCCAGTCCTTACCTAAGAGAGTTAGCTGACACTGCAGTCATCTCATTGCTTGTGCTAATACTCCTGCAATACCCAAAGCAGAAGAGAGACCTGTGCAAGGGACACATCTTAAGTGCTCAAACATTCAAAAATGGTATAGCACATAAAGGTACACCTATATGAGGGGCCTCCAGGCACCATAACATCTGCATTGAGATACTGTTATTAATATTATGGTGCATGGAAAAATTATTTTTTTACATTTATTTTTTGAATTCTTGCATTTACCTTTTTAAAGGTGTAGGTCCTGAGTTGAATGAACATGAAATCAAAAGGTTCAAAATTAAATGTATTTATCTTTTACCTTGGAGTGTTCCTTTAAGTGAAACTTGGAGAATCAGACTTGTTTGCATATCTTTGGGAAAAAAATGTCATGAGCTAACTTTTTATCTTAGTTTCAGGACTGAGCTAAAAACAGCAGTGTTGATTTACATTTGATTGTATTTTTCCTCACCTATAGCAGCACTACTAAACAAGTTGGTATTTGCGTTGCTGATGGATAGGTGCCATGGCTGTGGATCATAGAAAATCGAGGTCCCACCATAAGTCCACTAAAGGCAGGATGACCCTAGGTTTGCCTGTTGTGCATTTGGGACAGATGGGCACTCAATCTTTGTTTATTTATTTTGCTAAGATTTAGGAAGAGCTCACAAACACAGATCTGTGAAATCTAGGGATAAGTTAACTTAATATTAAAAACTCTGGAAAGTGACAATTATATTTTTTAAAGTGTATCCCTGGCCTTTTCTTCACCCTTGTCCCCAATTTCAATCCATATTTAACGTGGCTCTGCCATCAGAAATTGTTTATGCACAATCTTATAGCACTCCAAAATCTGTCTTTATGTTGTGGTGTTAATATTTAACCAGTTTTTATTTGTTTAACAATCCATACAATGTTTCTAGATAATCATGCGAATGGTTGGCACACGGTACTTTCGGATTTATTCCTTTTTCTGGTTATGCTCTGCAAATCATAGTTTCTGATAGATTTTTTTTTATTTTTTGTAATATTTACTTATTTTTTATAATCTGTAACATTCCCCAAGAGTTTGGAAATGTTGATGAATTTCCAAGATAACCGCCTCCACACTAGAATGCTGTCACATCTTCTAATGGTAATTTACTTGGCTAAAAAGAGCATTACCCTGTTGAGAATACTATTTTAAAAAGATTTATGAAAATAAAGTTAAGTAACCGTGCCATGTTAATGATTATGTATATAGTGTTTGTGTATGTGTATAATGGTACTGACACCTTTTTGTTTTTGCTTCTAATCTATTAACAATTGTGCTCTGATCAGTGCATTTTTTTTAAACGTATTTACTAAAACACAGCTTTTAATTTGTGTACTTTTTAAAAATGTTTTAAATTGTCTGCATGCAACTAAAGCTCTAATTAAAGCCCTACGCTGATCTCCTACTAATGCAGGCCACTTTAATTTTTCCCTTGCTATTTATCTATTGATCGATTTTCCTATCACAAGCTTTATTCTGATTTTTGTCTGCGTTGTCTGAAGCTTATATTTAATTTGCTCTCTGATTTTTATTTTATTTAGTTTATTAGAATTACTTTGTTTTGCTTAATCATGCATGTTGCACCTCCATTTCTGTGCAGATTCCAGCTCGGCAGCTGAAGAGATCAGCCCAGGTATGTGCTTTAACTGTTCATGGCTTCTCTTCCACGGCATACAGGACACACTTTTAATGAGCTTGCTCTTTATCATTTTGCAGCTGATAATGTTGTACACAATACTGTTTTTAAATTATTTATATAAATTGTTGTAATATAAGGAGCTAGAGCAAATCATTATTTTCCTCCTTTTCTCCTGTTCTTGTGTCCACTTTCTTGTTTCTCTCCCCAAGCCACCTCTCCGCGTTGTCCTCTCCCCGAACCACCTCCCCACGTTGTCCTCTCCCCGAACCACCTCCCCGCGTTGTCCTCTCCCCGAACCACCTCCCCGCGTTGTCCTCTCCCCGAACCACCTCCCCGCGTTGTCCTCTCCCAGAACCACCTCCCCGCGTTGTCCTCTCCCAGAACCACCTCCCCGCGTTGTCCTCTCCCAGAACCACCTCCCCGCGTTGTCCTCTCCCAGAACCACCTCCCCGCGTTGTCCTCTCCCAGAACCACCTCCCCGCGTTGTCTTCTCCCCGCGTTGTCCTCTCCCCGAACCACCTCCCCGCATTGTCCTCTCCCCGAACCTCCTCCCTGCATTGTCCTCTCCCAGAACGTTGTCCTCTTCCCTTCTTCTTTCTGGTTTATATGCGGTCAAATTTTCTACACCATGACAGCAACTATATGCTAGGAGTGTAGCTCCTGCCAATCTTGGACAAATCAAACCATAAATAGGTCTCTAGAATCCTGAGATGTACTTATTTTCCCATAATACACACCTCCGTAATAAGTATTTTAATATAGCATGCTTTTTATTTTATTTTGTGAAGACTGGTATGCTTGAGATGCTGTCCTTAATTCAGCCCCTCTTCCTTAATTGATATGCTGAGACAGGAGCTACAGGAAACAGTCTATCAGTTCCACTATCAGAACATCAACAGGAGAGGGGGTTGAATTAGTGAAGGCAGATGCAAACAGCTTCTACACTGGGAGTTTAACTCCACTTATTATTTCATATAGACCCCAATATGTAAAGCATTGCACTCAGGAATCCAAAAGTATCTTATATTGTGTGTAGATGTAGATATATATATATATATATATATATATATATATATATATATATATATATATATATATATCCTGACAGTCTGTGCAGTGAATTGAGGTGTTCATTAACATGGTAACACATTAACAGATTGAGGGTGTTAATACTATGTTAAAACCAACCAAAATCTGGTTTAACAAAAAATAAAATCTTGATTTCTATAGAGATTATATTATTATATCAAGGTAGAAACAAGTAAAATTAGTAATTATGCATGTGATTTAAAAAATAAATAAAATAAATCGTACAAATCAGAAATCTATAATAGAGAAAGGTAAGTCATCAGTGTCATTGTTGCAAATATCAAATTAAGTTTGAGCATTACGTGATAATACTAAAGAATTGATTGACAAGCTATGACTACTTTAGACACATTGTACTACAGAGGCTTATAACAAAATGAGTCCAAGCAACATAAAACCACAGTGTACCTGATACCAGCCTGTATTGTGTTTGTGTGTATGTATATATGTGTGTGTGTGTGTGTGTGTATGTGTGTGTATGTATGTATATATATATATATATATATATAATAATATACATTTCAGTGTAAGTGTTCCCCATGAATTAATTGTTAATGACCAATGCACGGTAGTTTAATATCAAAACATCATAAACAGAGATCTGCAGGTTTTGTTTTTAGTTTATATTTTTCGTCACAGACAAAACACTTTTATCCAGAAAAGCAGAAAAAAATCCTATAAAATTGTTTCCTGGTGGCCTATATTAAACATGATTTCTATAGCTGTAAAATGAACAGGGTGTTTGTGTGCATGTAGTGGATGCATTGCTTATTTTTAATGATTGTAACAACTCTTGTGTTGACATTATATTGTCCTGAAGTTGGAGGGAGTTTATTGAAGGCATCTTTTCCTCTATTCCAGGTGAATGGAGCGAAGCCCTGTACCCACTGCTGAGCACACTTACAGACTGTGTGGCCATGATGAGTGACAAAGCTAAGAAGGCAATGGTGTTCTTGTTAATGCAAGATAGTGCACCCACCATTGCCATGTGCTTGAGCCTTCAGTACCGCAGAGATGTGGTCTTCTGTCAAACAGTATGTAGAAAGCAATGCATGGAGTGATAATGGCCAGGACTTGTTGATACTGTCTTATTGCACTATTTTACTTGGTAAATGTGGGCATAAAATTTAAACTCTGAATTGCCAGCTACTTATGATAGGAGCCAAGGTCCGCCTTAAGCTTGTGCAAAAAAATCTTCACGCATAGCTTACACGCGGCAAAAGCCAGCACTGATAGTAGCTGAATATGACTGGGATTGGCTGTGCTGTAGGACAAGTGGTTAAAAAACATGTGCCGCCTACTATTCTTTCAGTTTTATTTCCAATAAAATCGTTTTTGGGGAGGCTATATTCACAAAGGAATCTGATAATTTTAACAACTTCCCACTATAGTTCTGCCAGGACAGTAGTGATATTGTCCACACATTATCATATTGCACTTTAAAAGATAAACTCTTTAGACCGTTAATTTGATATGCTTGTTTAGTCTGTTTAAGCTCTGTTAATGCGTGTGTGCTATTGAATAAAGCCGTGATTGAGACTGATGAAGCATTTTCTACTGTACCTCTGCTTTCTAGATAATTGTAAACTTTGTTATATCCATACTGACCAGATCATAGGCCTGATGCATGCCTTCAATATTCTCTAACCTTATGAATAGAGATGTCGCGAACCGTTCGCGAACGTCCCGCGAATGGCTCGCCACGAACCGTTCGCGGCGAGCCCCGGTCAGCGGACACATCCCGGCCAATCTCCAGCAGACCCTTTCACTTCCAGACCCTCCCACCTCCTGGCCAGCATCCATGTTGAAGCTGCCTTCAACATGGATGCTGGCCAGGAGGTGGGAGGGTCTGGGAGGGAGGGTCTGCTGGAGATTGGCCGGGATGTGTCAGCTGACCGGGGCTCGCCACGAACGGTTCGTGGCGAACCGTGGCGAGCCGTTTGCGGGAAGTTCGCAAACGGTTCGCGACATCACTACTTATGAACTTTCTCAAAAAAAGTTTTTGTTTATTTTTAAAAATGAATGTCGTTTCAAAGCTAATTTGCCTTTGCTATTAATATGTTTCAAATCTGTGTGTGACCTTGTTCTACTTCAAGCTTTGCAGTATTTACCCTTATAGAGTAGGGATCTCACACTGTGCATTCCTGGATGAAGACCTACAACTCCCAGGATTCTTTGATTGCAATAGATTGCCAGGGAATCGTGGGAAATGTAGTTCAGCAACATTAGGGGCAGATTTTGATGTATCTGTTCTAGAGTATTAAGGCTAATTTTCAATAGTTGATGTTCCAATGTCCTTGCTCTCCCCAGTTAACTGCCCTCATATGTGGCTTCATTATCAAGCTGAGGAATTGTCTGCATGATGATGGATTTTTGCGACAGCTGTATACGATTGGTCTCCTGGCACAGTTTGAAAGTCTCCTCAGCACGTATGGTGAGAGATTTGTTACAAGTTACTAATCTGTACTATTACTAATCTAAATTTTCTTATACAGAACTTTACAAACATCTGAATGTATTGTGCAAGATGTTGTTTCAACATATTTTTTGCACTTCCTGACTGTTTTGAACTTTCCATTACTAAACATTAGAGGTTATATAAATACGAGAGAGCATTGCTCTTTTTGTTCTTATTCCTGTTTTTTTTTTTTTTTTTAATCCTGTAAATTATGATTGGACGATTTCTTTTTCTGTATGGTGTAATACTAATGCAGTCTGTTTATGTTTTAGGAGAGGAGCTGGCCATGCTGGAGGATATGAATTTAGGGATCCTGGACCTAAGGAATGTAACATTCAAAGTAACTCAGGCTACATCCAACACCTCAACAGATATGCTACCAGTTATCACTGGAAACCGGTAAGGAATTTATTTTAATAAACGGATGCTATAGTCCCCAAAACAAGCTTAATGAAGCGGTTTTGGGGTATACATCATGCCTCTAAAATTTCACTGCACAATTCTCTACCACTTAGAAATTAAATAACTTTTGTTTCTGTTTATGCAGCCCTAGCCACATCTCTGTGACTGACACAGCCTTCATGTAATTACATTTGTTTTACTTCAATCAGATGTAACTTACTTTAAAAGTTATCTCCTATAAATTGAATGCTAATGACATACAGCAGGTCCCTGCAGGATCTAGCAAGCTATTAACAGAGAAGAAGATAATACATTATAAGTCAAAAAAATTTGCAATAAAGAAAATATAAATATTAAATCACTCTTTACAGGTCGAGTATAGAAAGGCTGTGCAGGTCACCTGCAGGGAGGTGTGACTAGGGTTCATAAACAAAGGGATTTAACTCCTAAATGGCAGAGAATTGAGCAGTGAAGAGAGCAGGGATATGATCTATACACCAAAATTGCTTCATTAAGCTAAAGTTATTTTGGTTACTATAGTGTCCCTTCAACATACTATAATAGACTCTGAGCTTTTTGTTTCAGAAAACTAGTGTGGCTATACCCTTCTTGATGAACAGAAAGTCTCCACAAAGGTGCAAATCTCAAGGACATGAATTTTAAAAGCAGATTATGATATGCTAGAAAAGGGAACCAACAATGCAAGGTCCTAGTCACTTGAGGTCACCTTCAATGCTATTCACTAAACCTTGTATTGTTGTGAATTCACTCAAAAATTGCATATTTAAGGTTGGTATAGCTTTACTAGAAACAGAGCTGTCTTTTGAAATTCCATGGTTAACAATGTATGGTTTAGCGAATAACCCACTTTATAAAATAAAAATAAAAAAAATAACACTTCACCTTCCTCTTTTTGGAAAATTACCCATTAGCCTTTGACTTTGCCTAATTGGTGAAGAAAGGTTCTACTGGCATACTGTGTAGTTCTGCTAGTGAAATAATCATACTTGGTGTAACCTTCTTCCCCTTGTTGCAGTCAGTTACTGATTTTAAAAATCGCTTCCTACCATCAACATTCACCTTTAAAAACTTCACTGATATAGGCCGCAATTCCTTTATCAAGAAATGCATAGATAAATATTGTTGTGGAATTAATTCTACAAACATTGTCACACTTAAACATTTACATTTTGCTATTTTTAAGTGATGGATTTAACGTTCGCATCCCGTTGCCGAGTGCCTTGTTTGATGCCCTTCCTCGTGAGATTCAGAGTGGAATGCTGCTAAGAGTCCAGCCCGTCCTTTTCAACGTTGGAATTAATGAACAGCAGACACTGGCAGAAAAGTATGTACCTTTTGTGTAAAGAAGACTGCAGATGGCACGTCTATGTATTCGTAATATTGTATAAAGGGATACTCCAAGCCAGGGTACCACACACACTGTACCCCTCATGCACAAACTGCCCCACCTACACACATACACAAGCTACATCCTTCGCAAACACAATGCACCCCTGTACACACACTGCATCTCTCACGCACGTACGCACACTGCATCCCTCGCACACACACACACACACACTACAGGCCCTATCCTGGCAGACCCCAGGTAAGTTGTCAAACTGTTCTTAAATAGTTTGATTACTTACCAACGTAATGTAGTGGTTATTGTGTCTGGATTGTTTCTTTAAAAATCCACCAGTGCCACTCCCAAGATTAGGGGCCCAGTATATGCCACAGCGCTGTACATATATTCAACCTAGAAAATTTTTTGACTTGGAAAATAATTGAAATAGGGTGCATTGAACCTAAAAAGTTTGGGAACCACTGCTCTATATATTTAACAAATACATTATTATAAGCTCTCTCCTTTGCAACATGGAGAAATTAAACAAAGAGGGGAAGAAATTAGACCGTGTCTCTAATTCTCCTCAGTTGCAATGTGTTGACCGACAATGCCAGGATTGAACTGGATTGTAATTTAATTTGCCAAAGCTATAAAGGAGCACCATAGTGCCAGGAAAATGAACTCATTTTCCTGGCACTATAGTGTCATTAGTTCCCCCCCCAACCCCCCTACCCTCAGGGCCCCCCTCCTGCTGGGCTGAATTGGTTAAAACCCCTTCAGCCACTTACCTTTCTCCAGCGCCGGGCTTCCTCGGGGCTCGGGAACTCTCCACCCCCTGCCGACGTCAGATCCAGATGCGCATGCGCGGCAAGAGCCGCGCGTTCATTCAAGCAGCCCATATGAAAGCATTGCTCAATGCTTTCCTATGGACTTCCAGCGTCCTCTTACTGTGATATTCACAGTGAGAATCGCAGAAGCAGCCTCTAGTGGCTGTCAGTGAGACAGCCACTAGTGGCTGGATTAACCCTCAGTGAAACATAGCAGTTTTTCTGAAACTGCTATGTTTTCAGCTGCAGGGTTAAAACTAGAGGGACCTGGCACCCAGACCACTTTATTGAGCTGAGGTGGTCTGGGTGCCTATAGTGGTCCTTTAATATAAATAAAATGAATGTCACATTAAATAGGTTGACAAGAGTGATGGGCGATTTTCATTATTTTAGTCAATGGTGTAACTTCCAGCGAATTGACCTTTCTCTTTTAACCGTTGCAACTTCTAGAAAATGCATTTTAAAGCCAAGCTCTATTGTAAATCATGCAGTTTCTCAATAGAACTCTGCAGTATTCCTTTCAAAGTGTTTGGTTTGTAAATGTAATCTGCATACTATACAGAAACACATTTTTGCAAGTCCAATGCTGAATTATCTGGTATTCTTTTGAGTAGATATATGTATGTGCAACCTACCAAAGGCAAGGTAGTAATAATAGATAGGTGTATTACCAGACCGTAGAGAAGGAATTCGGAAGTATTGGGTCTAAGGAGAACCAAAATGTAACTTTGACTCCTTGTCAAATCATGTAGCCAGGTCATGGAACCACAGCGCATTAATCGGGGTTAAGGACTAACCAAATAAAAACAAGAGAAAATATAATGCAGCAAAATAGCTTGGTGTACAAAAGCACAAAATCGCATTTATGCCAAGTAGGTAAGGGTTTGAATAGGAACAGGCCCTAGCATCATCAACTTGTGTCCGAATAAGCATGTTCATTCTCTCAAACTTGATGCTGCAACATTTAAAAAAAAATAAAAAATCAATAAAAAACATTCTAGGAACATATAGGTTTAGCGTGGTGTCACAGGTGCGTCCAAGTGGACGCAAGTGCAGAAAAAATTATGCTGGAGCATCAAACCTGTTAAGTGACCTTACAAATAGGCCTGGGTGGAAGCTTGGATACGGTTTGGCTGCTCATTGGTTTACCCATACAATGAATCACCAGCTGTAAATGTTAGCTACATTGTATCTACATATTTGCCTCCTTTTCTCACTGGTATCCTTCTGTTGCTTTTACAGGTTTGGAGATACATCCTTGCAGGAAATCATAAACATTGAGAGCTTGGTGCGGTTAAATTCTTATTATGAGCAGTTCAAAGAAGTTTTGCCAGAGGACTGTAAGTCTGTTACAAAAATATTCATTGTTTTTTCGTGTTTAATTGTACATTTGTTTACAACCTGTGACATGTTGACATGGTAGTCTAAATTCATAGTAATTTGTGAATTCAAAGCTGATAGTTGACCTAACCTGTTGACTGTGACACTTTTAAAATTAAATATAACTTGGTGGACTTTTTGCTTATCACCTTTCTTCTGTACCGATGAAATGTGCAGGCTCCTATGGTAACCAGATCTGCTGTAAAGTGTTTTAATGCAACTTTTAAACTGTTTTTGGTCCATGCTAATCATTCTTAGTGATGGTCTAATCCCACATTTGTGCTACATGCAAGTGTAATTTAGAAAATTCTAAATGTATAGGCACTCTCATATCCGTGGTGGTGCTGGTATCAAGGTAGACCGCAAACGAATACCTTGAACATATACAATATTCACGTATGATACCGCACTCAAAAGGTAATTCAAAAGAAATTTATATTTATTACACAGCCTTTTGATATTAGTCAGTTACTTCACAGTCTAGATCCAATATATACCCAATATGAAAATACGTCCACAAAAATAAATCACAACTAAAATCCTACAATGGATACAACAATGCAATACTGCTGGTGATATAAAAATAGTAGGATAAAATATCCCTAATTAGTATGCTTCATCTGGTATATAATGACTCAATTTGAAATGTCCTGCTACAATAGAGATGGACACTGTATGTGTGTGTGTGTGTGTGTATATATATATATATATATATATACACATATACACACACACACACACTGTCCATCTCTATTGTAGCAGGACATTTGAAATTGAGTCATTATATACCAGATGAAGCATACTAATTAGGGATATTTTATCCTACTATTTTTATATCACCAGCAGTATTGCAAAAAGTGTTTTGTCACTCTGTGTGTGTGTGTGTGTGTGTGTGTGTGTGTGTGTGTGTGTGTGTGTGTGTATACATATATATATATATGTATACACACACACACACACACATAGAGTGACAAAACACTTTTTACAAAAAAAGGGAAAAAATAAAATAAAAATAAAGATACAGTCCAAGTGTGTACACACTAAAAAACTCAAAAAGCCAAACAATCTTTATCCATAGCTAATTCCTAATGGACTGATCTCACCCCCTGTAGTTGGGAAAGTCCTCTCATAGATATAGTCCAGTCTCTGCAAAGTTTTGTGGTTAACCAAGTAGATATCCAAATAGATGTCGAAGTGTTTGTGCAGATTAGGGCTTGTAGAAATGAGTCTCTGGATTTTGTGCATGGAAGCCGTAGATCGGGATGCCTGGGATGCCTGGGCTGCGTGCTTGGGACCTTGTCCGTCCCTTCAAAGGCCTTGATTAAGTTAATAACAGTGTTGGCTTTTATTGCCTCTATTATGGCGCGCTCTTCTGACCTCATTCTGAGTGCACGCTGGTGCACATGCGCGCTCGTCCTCAGAAGCACTGGGACCAGAGTGCGCACCACGTGATCCTTTGTGTGTGCTGGCAAACTCACAATGACGTAAACCTGCGTACTGTTCCTGTTACAAAAAACTCCAAACAACTTTATTTGTCAATCAAAATATTTACTTATACACTGTGTTGATTTCATTGTATTTAAATGGTTATTCAGCAGGTTGTGTTGAAATGAAGGGGTAAATAAGATAGATTTGTGGGAATTCTTTATATAGGAGAGCTTTATTTAAGCTCAATATTACTTATATAATTCTTCTCTTCTCTATGATTAATGAGGAAATATCATATAAATCCAATGATAATGATATACAACAAAAAGAGAAAATAATAGAATGTCTCCATATGGGAGATTGATGGTCCTGTCTAATGAAGTGTTACTTTGTGTTATAGGGAAAGAGGGAGTTGCGTAGGAGATAAAGGCATAGGAGTTTGGACAGAATGGATATAGTGCCGCCACGGCTTAATTAGTTCACATGCAACTATGCGGCTTAATTTTCAAAACCTTCAAAAACCTATAAGTACACTTGTGGCACTATGTCGTAGAGCATAAATGGCATATTTTATAACAAAACAAGGATAATCAAGGGTACACGCCTCACCACACTCAGGCTTAAAAAAACGAATCTTGAACAAAAGCATACTCACCAGCGGTGTCCTGTGTGAAAGTGTATGTAGTGTCCTCTAGTGTATGTAGTGTCGGGTGGCAGACCGTAAAAGGTCAACCTAGTTGTAAGTATAAGGAGCATTCGAGAGCCAATCGGACCAATCCTAGTCAGATCTATACACTGTGAGGTGGGCATAAAAATAATTAGATATTGGTTAAATAATCCAATAAATTCAGATAGGGATTTTAGCCAAAAACAAAGTTCAATGTATTGGTTAATAAGGATTTGTGTAGACCCACTCCTATGCCCTATAGGAACTGCTTAAGGTTGTCTTCATTCAAACCCATTGGTTATGTCTCTAGAGTACTTATCCACTTAGTTTCTTTCTGGAGTAACAGATTTTGTCTGTCACCTCCCCTACGAAGTTACTCCCGTTACATGGATGAAAACTGTTCTTTTTATATCACAAGCAGTATTGCATTGTTGTATTTATTGCAGGTTATTAGTTGTGATTTATTTTTGTGCATATATTTTCATATCAAGTGTAATTTAGGAAGATTGTAAGTAAGCATTGTTAATTTTAGTTTGTATAAATGCAATTTATTTTTTTGTATTTGACTCCATCTACATCTTTGTTATATATTGTCATGTGATGCAGCTGTAGACAGCACAAAAATGTTCATTCAAACCATAACACACCAAAGAATAGATGTAGTCTTAATATGAAGGATAATAGATCAGAGACAACATGGGTTTACTTCAGGAGATCATGCCAAACTAATCTTATTGATTTTTTTGATTGGGTAACTAAAATTATAGATCAGGGTGGTGCAGTAGACATTGCTAACCTAGATTTCAGTAAGGCTTTTGACACTGTTGCACATAGAAGGCTTATCAATAAACTGCAATCTTTTGCAAGTTTGGATTCCAATATTGTTGAATGGGTAAGGCAGTGGCTGAGTGACAGGCAACAGAGGGTTGTAGTCAATGGAGTATATTCGAAGCTTGGGGTTAACACCAGTGGGGTACCTCAGGGATCTGTACTTGGACCCATTCTCTTTAATATTTTTATTAGTGATATTGCAGAAGGTCTTGATGGTAAGGTATGTCTTTTTGCTGATGATACTAAGATATGTAACAGGGTTGATGTTCCAGGAGGAATAAGCCAAATGGCAAATGATTTAGATAAACTAGAAAAATGGTCAGAGTTGTGGCAACTGACATTTAATGTGGATAAGTGCAAGATAATGCATCTTGGATGTAAAAACCAAAGGGCAGAGTACAGAATATTTGATATTCTGCCAACCTCAACATCTGAGGAAAGGGATTTAGGGGTGATTATTTCTGATGACTTAAAGGTAGGCAGACAATGTAATAGAGCAGCAGGAAATGCTAGCAGAATGCTTGGTTGTATAGGGGGAGAGGTATTAGCAGTAGAAAGAGGGAAGTGCTCATGCCATTGTACAGAACACTGGTGAGACCTCACTTGGAGTATTGTACGCAGTACTGGAGACCGTATCTTCCGAAGGATATTGATACCTTAGAGAGAGTTCAGAGAAGAGCTACTAAACTGGTTCATGGTTTGCAGGATAAAACTTACCAGGAAAGGTTAAAGAATCTTAACATGTATAGCTTGGAGGAAAGACGAGACCGGGGGATATGATAGAACATTTAAATACATAAAGGGAATCAACACCGTAAAGGAGGAGACTATATTTAAAAGAAGAAAAACTACCACAACAAGAGGACATAGTCTTAAGTTAGAGGGACAAAGGTTTAAAAATAATATCAGGAATAGTATTACTTTACTGAGAGGGTAGTGGATGCATGGAATAGCCTTCCAGCTGAAGTGGTAGAGGTTAACAGAGTAAAGGAGTTTAAGCATGCGTGGGATAGGCATAATGCTATCCTAACTATAAGATAAGGCCAGGGACTAATGAAAGTATTTAGAAAATTGGGAATACTAGATGGGCCAAATGGTTCTTATCTGCCGTCACATTCTATGTTTCTAAAAGCACTGAGAATTAATAGTTTAGCAATATCTTTCCCCAGTGTAAGTGAGTTACAGATGCTGTGTATGCTACGAAGCATAATGAACAGATTGTTCTGCAACCAATTTTTGGGGGAATTTCCAAAATGTTTCAAGAATGCTTTGCTTATAAACAGAAGACAAACTGTGTATTGACTGTTTCTTGGAAGCAATTTAATAAGTTATAAATAAATAGTTTACATTGTATTAATTATCACTTTTTATGTATGGTACTTTTTGCTTGTCCAGTTTATATAGTTCTTGTATTCTATTTTTGTGACGTTTAAGTAGAAAGGTAGCTGTAAAGAAACATAGGAATCCTTCCTATCCTAACACAGTAAGATACTGTCGTGGGGGAAAAGAGGCTTTTCAAAAACAAGATTAAAATACCTCTACTATTTTGGCATCTGATATGCAATTTGGATTTCAGGTCACCGCAATTCACTGTTTACTTAATAAACCCCCAAATTACCACCCTGGGCTATTGTGCCTATACATCCCAGGTAACAATTGACTCCGAAGTTGTAGTTGAATCAGCAAGCTTTTATTAATAAAGCAGAATACAGATTTATAATGGTTGCATAAGAAGTGCATCAAGTACCCTTTTAAAGTCACTTGTTAAATTGGAAGCACAACTTTTCTAGGCAGTGCTACATATTTTTATATAGCAACTGGATAGAATGGATCGTGACTCAACGATATATACCCTGCCCACCTCAATAATATGAGAGCAACCCCTGACGAAGGTGCACACGTTAGTGCACCGAAACGCGCGTCAGGCATTATGTTCTGAGTGGGTGATGGGCCCCTATCACCCGTGCACTTGGGATGTCTGTTAATTTAATAGCGTTTTCAATTATTCTCTAACTCTTTTTATTATGACTCTACTAACTAGCTAGCTTAACAGGGAGAGAGGCTTTTTATCTTGCTGTCCAACAAACTTTCTAATTAACCTTTTGTTAGGACTGTATGTTACTCCTTAGATATTGTCTATTGGTCTTGGACACCCCCACCAATAAGGTATTTACTCTAACCCTGTATATTTATGTTAATCTAGATTGGGGATAGGACACATCCTGGGCTAAAACTAGCAACCAAATAAAGCTACCATTAGTTTAATCAATTTACTGGATGACCCTATACTCCCATTATTAGTTAGTGGAGAAGCCTTATAAGGCAAGTCATTTTCTCACTTCGTTTCTAGTTTTGGGACACGTGTGTGTGTATATAAGTACATTTAGTGCTGGTCCAGCTCAACTTAAGTTATTTAAACAAGATACTTAAAGGACCACTATAGTGCCAGAAAAACAAACCAGTTTTCCTGGCACTATAGTGCCCTGAAGGTGCCCCCACCCGCAGGGTCCCACTCCCGCCGGGCTGAATGGGGAGGAAGGGGGTTAAACACTCACCTTTCTCCAGCGCCGGGCTCCCTCGGCCTGGGGACTGTCCTCCTCCTTCGGTCGTCACTGTGTGAGTTTTATTTCACCTATTTTTATGTATGATTTATTTTATTCAGTGAACACTATTTGTTTTCCATTTTATCTTTTGTAGATCACTCTGCTTGCCTTGTGTTCAGCTACTGTGTTGTATTATATGTGTGTTCACAAATATTTGATTGTTTGGTTTATGACCAAGAATAAGAATTTTTTTAGATTGAAGTTTACCAGCAATTATTACTATTCTTATAAGATGAAGCTAGTTAGTGTCTACAAGCAATCTGATGGTATTATGTGTTGATGATGAAATCTAATGCTATCTAATAATGTATTTTCTGTCCAGGTTTGCCTCGGTCTCGCAGCCAGACTTGTCTTCCTGAGTTACTTAGATTCCTAGGACAAAATGTTCATGCTCGGAAAAACAAAAACGTAGACATCCTTTGGCAGGCTGCAGAGGTAATT